TTGGGTTGCCCTGACTAACCCAGAAGCTGAATCTGAGACCTGCATTCTGATCTCTGCTCTGCACTTACTCAGTCCCTGAGTAGCTTCCCATTTCCCAGGAGGCTCAGAGATCTCTGGAACCCCTGACCCAGCCAGCTCCCACTTATGAACTTGCTGGTTAGGTACACATGAACTTGGATCCCCCAGTGTGGATTAAAGCACCTAAGTGACCACCCCCATCGTCTGCCACCACCCTAGGACTGAGATAAGCAGGGTAATAAAGGGATGGACGTAGAGTCCCCAGGATGGTGGAGGGAATGCCTCCTGTTAGCCAAACCATTGTGTGTTTCATTGTTGAGCCTCACAAGCCTATAGAGCTGGTATGGTTATCATCGCTCTGCAGATGAGGAAACCAAGAGGTTAAGAACAAATTCAAGGCTGCACAAGACCACTGGCATAGCCAGCATTAAAATGTCCACAAAATTGCCCTAACTGGTTTGGCTCAATGGATAGAGCATCAGCCTGCGGACTGAAGGGTCCCAGGTTCAATTCCAGTCAAGGGCATGTACCTTGGTTGCGGCCACATCCCCAGTAGAGGGTATGCAGGAGGCGGCTGTTCGATGTTACTCTCTCATCGATGTTTCTAATTCTCTATCCCTCTCCCTTCCTCTCTGTAAAAAATCAATAAAATATATTTTAAAAATAAATAAAAATAAAAATAAAATGTCCACAAAATTGGCCTAGACTGGAACAGCTGAAAGCCAACGTTAAATAACAAAAAGCATATACGTCCTCTGAAATCAGCAAGCTCCACGGCCCTCAGGACAGAAAGCCGCTGAGTGCATGCTTAGCTGGTCAAAGCAGGTTTACATCATAGGAAGAAGTGAGAACTTCCATTCTCCTGGGCCTGAAACTACCTCTGCAAGTGGAACCAATGTCTCTGTACACAGACAAGCTTCCAGGGCCAGCAGTTTCTGTCCTGGTGAGATCCAGTAGCTCCGATGGCCTATCTGAACCTTTAAGGAACAAGCATTCCAGAATTCCCCCAGTTTACTGAGGCAAACAGCCCTCAATTCCCAGGCACCTTGGAAACATTCCTCTCCTGAAAGGGGTTCTCCTTCTCCAGGTAGGCCCTTCTCCAGACTAGAGCTTAGGGAATCGGCACCAAGCAGATACCAGCAACAAATAAGGAATAAGGCCCAGGGCAGTCACAGGAAGTTCTCCTTCAGCCAGCGATGGGAGCCCTGGGGCCAGGGAGCATAGCTACCCCTGACCCTCTTGCATCCCTTTTCCCTGGCCACTAAGACACTTCCCTAGTCACAGCCAGACCGGAACAAAGGATTCTTTCGAGGAAGACACATTCCAGCTGATAGGGTGAGAAGAGGGAAGGTGCCCACACACAGAACTGATGGTCAGGGTGCTGACCAGAATATCACAAAGGCCTGGAAGTTATTCCAGTGATAACCCACACTCTGCTGTCTCCCTCAGGGAGGGAGTCAAGAATTCCTGCCACATATGGTCAAAGCAAGAGAATCACAGAATCTCAATGCTGGGGAAGGGGTAGCCAACTCAAATTCAATTCAAAACACAAGCATCCTCAAATGGCCCACTAGAAAATATTAACTTAAGGAGGGGAAAAAGCCCATAAAGAGGTTCAGCTCAACCCCAGCCATAGAAATCCTGCCCAACTTTTTGGATCCACCCCTCTCTCTCCAAAAGAACTATTCCCTTTCATCCTGGGAGGGTGCCTCTGTGTCTCACTTAGGGAAGAGGTCCTGATAGGTACCATTCCAGGAACATTGGGCATTTTAATAAAAGTGACCTTAAGAGAATCTCAGTGAAAGGGGCAGGAGCCACAAACCCAGACTCCAGGCAGGGAATAACAGGAAGGCCACAGAGCACAAAAAGCTGGTGAAACTCCCAGGCACTGGTAGACTACCAGCAGAGTTCTGAGGGATTAAGAGCAGGTTGTAGAAGACAGCAGGTAGATTCAACAGCCACAGCCTAAGGGACCCCAGACCTTCCTGGGCCCACCATTTGGAGGTATACCTTGCTCTGTGTACTGAAAGATTGGACTCACTAACAACCTTTCCTCTTTAGTGCTCTAATCATTCAGAAGCCCCCTCTTCTGTGCAGGGCCAAGAGCCCCTGTAGGTCCCTTCAATTTAGTCCTCAGCACAAAACAGCAACATTATACCCTTTCACCAGGACTGGACAGGATTCATTTTTCTACCTCCAGCCTCAGCCCAGAGCCTGACACACAGAAAGGGCCCAAAGAATGGTTGCTGCGCCAGAGCCGGTTTGGCTCAGTGGATAGAGAGTCGGCCTGTGGACTCAGGGATCCCGGGTTCGGTTCCGGTCAAGGGCATGTGCCTTCGTTGTGGGCACATCCCCGGTGGGAGGCTTGCAGGGGGCAGCTGATCGATGTTTCTCTCTCATCGATGTTTCTGGCTCTCTGTCCCTCTCCCTTCCTCTCTGTGAAAAATCAATAAAATATATTTTAAAAAAAAGAATGGTTGGTGAATAAAACTGATCATTGGTGAGAAAGGAGAAAAAAATAATTTCAAGGAAGATACTAATGCCTCAGTAAGGAAATCCTAGAATTTTTTAATATAAGGTGCCTTCCAGTTCTAAGATTTGAGAATTCTCTATCTCTTAAATCATTCACACCATCCCAACCCACCAACTATAAAGACTACAGGATAAAGTGAGACATGGCTCAGAGTGGAGAGGAAGGCTCCACGCCACCCAGGAACCTAGTTTTGAGCTGATTCAGAACCCAGTCATCCTCACACCATGCTCCCATGCTTATGTAGACATATCCCAAATGCACTGTGCCAGGCCTCTTTCCAAATCAGACAAAAGATGCAGCTCAGTGGGAGTCGCCCAGTGGTTGAGCATGGGTTTGATTCAGTCAAGGCACATGCCCAGGTTGCGGCTTGATCCCCAGTAGGTGGTGTGCAGGAGGCAACGAATTGATGATTCTCATCATTGCTGTTTCTATCTCCCTCTCCCTTCCACTCTCTGAAATAAGAAGAAAAAAAAAAAAGAATAGAAGATGCAGAATGATTCTGGAGAACCTCAGGGTTCTTCTCTTATCTCTGAGACCCAGATGGCTTGCCAAGTTCCAGAAAGGTCAAGGGCTTCTGGGGGATCAAGATGCCTAGCAATAGTGTGCTGACTCCAGACACATAAGTTATAGGGAACTTCTAGAACAGCGGTTCTCAACCTGTGGGTCGCGACCCCTTTGGGGGTCGAACGACCCTCTCACAGGGGTTGCCTAAGACCATCCTGCATATCAAATATTTACATTATGATTCATAACAGTAGCAAAATTACAGTTATGAAGTAGCAACGAAAATAATTTTATGGTTGGGGGTCATAACATGAGGAACTGTATTTAAAGGGCCAGAAGGTTGAGAACCACTGTTCTAGAAGGACTAGAATGAGAGGGAGGGGCCTGAATTCCTATTTCCATGCAACTCTGGAGAAGAACAGTATCTTTTTAACCTTGTAGAAAATTCTTGTGATCAAGCCACCCAGGCCTTCAAAATGTGCAAAACTAACCCATAGCCTCAAGCCCAGCTCACCTGAAACTTGTGTCCTAGAAAGAACTAATCCAGACAATGTAGAGCAAGCATGTCAAACTCACAGCTGGCGGGCTTTGACATGCTTGATGTAGAGAGTCGTGAAATAACTGCTTTTAGCACTAAGAGATTCCACCACATTGATCCTATGTGTGTCCTGTGGGTAGTCCCTCCATTGCCCACATCCACTGGCAAAGCAGGCCTCTTCTGAGCCTGCTGAATAAACCTGACTTTCCTGTGCTCATGTGCTAGGAGGTCGACTGGGAAGATTGAGTTCAGAGAGAAGTCTAACCCTTGCCTGTCCTCCCTAACCAGGGAGAATGACTAGATAGAGCAATTCAACTGCAGGAAACTTCCAAGGCTAAAGCCCAATGACCCAGAAAAAAATCACTTGTAAGGGGGGAAAGTCCAGTGATGGAGACTTTCTGTCTGGTCCATGGGCCTAACTCAACTCTTCTAAGAGAATTGTGGCCCAAAAGCCACACTTCCGATCAGAGGAATGAAGGCTAGACAAGTTGTGTCTTCCCAAAATCCCATAGTCTTCTCTGGACAGGTCCCTTATATAACCACTCAGTCAGAAGTACCTTTACAAAGCCTGAGGTCTACTCAATGGCTAGATGCTCCGCTTCTCCCAGAACTCAAGGGGTCACTGGAGCCCATCAAGGGTGATTTCCTAAAGCCCAACCAATTTACTGCCTGCTCACAAATCAATCCAGCAGTTGGGAAGTGAGAACGCAAGTGAGGGAAATCTGGCTTCCTGAAGCTTTCAGCTCTAGGTCCGCTACCCAAGCTTCAGAAGGCCTCACAGAGTCTGTATCTGAGCCCCGCAGCCCAAATGTGATTCACCCCCAATGCTGCTTCCAGTCCAGTGTCTTGTTTGGCACTGGGTTCATGGACCTTAGGCCTGGATTCTACTTCCTCCTTCTTTGAATTCCACCTTATCACCGCCATTCTTATGGAATCCTCCTCCTCTGTGGGAGGAGGGCACATAACTCTGGGAGGGGCAGGTATAACGATTAGGCTGTGCTGAGGAGGTCTAATAATGTGCTGGAGGCTCAGACATCCAACCTCACCTCCTTGGCTCCCTTCCTCCACTAACCCGGCTGGCCAACCCACCACAGCTGGAACTTGGTCACTGAGAGAGAGAAGGGCGGGGGCTGAGCCATCCAGCCTGGACCTGCCGCATCCCATCAGGCCAGATCTCCCTAGGCTGGTCGGGGGTGAAGTCCCACGTGCAACCCGCTCCAACTCCAGGTTACTTGACTCTCCCCTCCACGCGGGAGAACTTACGGATGAGTTCCAGCGTTGGGAGGGGGGTTAGGCTTCGTGCACCCCCAGCGGGCTTGTAGACAAGCATCCTATATCCCAGCCAGGCTACGGTCGGGAACAGAGTACGAGTCCTAAGCCCGGGCTGCAGCAGACGGGCGCCCTTACCCAAAGCTGACTCCGGAGTGGGCTGGAGAACGAACGCTTGCCCATCCCCGGATCCTTCGCAGGTGGGTAGCAGGACGTGGGGCTGGGGTCGACCCACTGGCCAGCCTGCAGAACTTGCGGGACTCGGGCAGGCCGGGTTAGGCCAGACGGGGCGGAGCCCGGAGAGCCCCATCTGAATGGTCTGGACAAGAGAAAAAGACCTCATCCTAGCGCAGTCCGGTGCTCCCGCCATGTGCACGGCACCGCCTGGAGAGAAGCCTGGCTGTCTCTGTGTTTCCCCCAGCCGCCGCCTCAGAGGACCGGCG